TTGGTTTGGTTTGGTTTTGATAAAAATCGAACCAATCCAGTCCGATCCATGTAGTGATGTACACCCCTACTATATTTTAACATATTTAACAGATAACTTGCTCAGCTATGTTTAACATATATATATGCTTCCAGTGTTTGGCAGATCCTCTCAGAGCTCAATACAATGGAGGAATAGTCGTGAATCCAGACATGAATGAGGGACTAAAGGGCTGGAGTAAATCTGGATTTGCAAATATGGCCACTAGGATGTCCAGCAGTACTAATAACACTTTCATTGTGGCTACCAACAGGAAAGGAGCCCTTCATGGTTTTACCCAAAAATATTTCTTGCAAAAGGATACTCGCTACGTAACTTCAGGTACTGCGATTATTTTCGCATACGTACACAAGGATTTTGCCCAACTGTTTGTTTTAATTTGACCATTGTTTTCACGGCGTGTCGTCGATGTAGCATATATATATATATTATAGGAGTATATGTTTTTTAAAAAAAATTACTTACACCATGCAAATAAATGAAATACGTATATATTGTTTTAAAGCGGTGTTGGATCATGACACCCGGCCCTTATAGCATGTTTAGATAGCATATAAATATGAAGGAGAATAACTTAACTAGTTCTTACGATATGTTTCGTGGATTGGATTTCACTTGACTGGGTGTATGATAAGAAAAAGTAGTCTTACTTGTTGCAGAAAGAAAAGTAGCATTTTACAAACTGCTTTGATTTATTAAGATGAAAACTTGCCGCCAGCCGGATCGACCAACAAATGATAGGCCAGAGACCTCTGTAATCGATCGATGGGAACCTCGAAGTTGTCTGGGGCAGGAAAAAACTCATATTAAGCACTGCTCCAACATCAACTGGTACAAGGAGGAGGCACGGCTGGCTAAACCTATTGATGGTAGAGGTGAAATTTCAGCACTGAATTTCGATTAATCGAATCCGCTGCCCCGGGTATTATTTCGCTCCACGCCGGGCAGCTAAGTTGGTATGGAAGAACTAATGTGCCGCGGCTTGTCCCCTCTTCACTCTCTACAGGGTTCCAAACCTTTCTTCAACATAGGTGACAACGAGCCAGGCAGAGATGGAAGAGATCAAACACGGGAATAAGAAGCAATTTTAATTTCATTTAACGAGATTTCTAATTTAAAATGGATTTAATTTATATATATTGACAATAATATAATTTTTTTATGTTTTCAGTGATATTAACATATTATAGCATGTTACAATCTTATAATAGGTTGCTTGTATTATCTTGTAACTTTTCTGATAGTATTAAAAAAATTAGTTTATGGAAGCTAAATTCTAAAAAATCACTAAAACATGCCGCAGGTACGCAAAGCTAAAGTGAAAATCCAAGCAGTGGATTCTCAAGGCCAACCTTTACCAAACGTAGTTGTCTCCCAGGCACAATAGAAGAACAATTTCCCGTTTGGCAATGCAATAAGCCAATACATCCTAAACAACAAAGCCTACCAAGATTGGTTTACTTCAAGATTCAAGTACAGACTTGTAACGACTCGGACGGTCGTTTTGAGAGTTATAGCCCCTTTTCTCCCATTTCTGTTTCCTTTTGTGCTTTTTAGCTATATTATGTTATACCGGGTTAGTTGATTCGGGTCCGGAGTGGTTTCGGAGTGCATTGAGACACCTAGTCTCTAAAGTAGAAGCTTTAGTTGGAAAAGTCAACCGGATATTGACTTATGTGTAAACGATCTCGAATTTGAATTCTGATGGTTCCATTAGCTTCGTTAGGTGATTTTGGACTTAGGAACGTGTCCGGAATGTGATTTGGAGGTCCGTAGTAGAATTAGACTTGAATTGGCGAAAGCTGGAAATTTGGCGATTTCGGTTGACAGTGGAAAATTTGATATCTGGGTCGGAATGGAATTCTGGAAGTTGGAGTAGGTTCGTGGTATTATTTGTGACATATGTGTAAAATTTGAGGTCATTCGGATGTGGTTTGGTTGGTTTCGGCATCGGTTGTCGAATTTGGAAGTTTAGAAATTCTTAGGCTTGAATTCGAGGGTAATGTGGTGTTTTGATGTTGTTTTGAGTGATTCGAAATTTCGACTAAGTTCATATGTTGATATATGACTTGTTGGTATATTTGGTTGAGGTCTCGAGGGGCTCGGGGTGATTCCGGGTGGTTAACGGATTGATTGAAGTTGGAAAATGCAGCTGAAGCTGCTGCTACAGATATTTATACACATGCAGAGAGGGAGACGCAGGTGCGAGGTCGCAAGTGCGCGTGGGAGTTCGTAGGTGCGGATAGTGATGAGGTAGGCGGGGTCCGCAGGTGCATAGAGGAAGTCACATCTGCGAGTCCGCATATGCGAATAGATGCCCGCAGAAGCGGAAGTGAGGAGGTCAAGCAGTGGCCGCAGGTGCGAGGTCTTTTCCGCACCTGCGTGGTCGTAGATGCGGACATGGAGCGTAGGTGTGAAGTTATGGGCTTTAATTATTTTCCATAGGTGCGGATATTTTTGCGCAGATGCGGCACCGCAGGTGTGCATATTTGGCCGTAGGTGCGAAAGACCCGGACAGAAACTATAAATTGAATACTTCGCGAATTTTGGTTCATTTCCACCATTTTCAAGTCGGTGTTTTGGAGCTTTTGGAGTGAATTTTGGAAGGGGATTCAAGGATTAACACTGAGGTAAGTTTCTTGAACTCTATTATCATTAGCTATGGTGTTTTCCAGTTAATTTCTCACCAAATTAGTAGGACTTTTGGAGTAAAATAAGGAGTTAGGGCTTGGGATTTTGTAGAGAGTAATTTGGGGATTTGAGGGACCAAATGAGGTCGAATTTTGATGAATTTAGTATGGATGGACTCGTGAGTGAATGGGCTTTCAAGTTTTGTAACTTTTGTTAGAATTTGAGACGTGGGCCCGGGGCCTGGGTTTGAACCAATTTCGGATTTTTGTATAAATTGGTATTTTCCTTGTGGGATTCATTCCTTTAGCTTATATTGATCATATTTTTATTGTTTGTGGACAGATTCGGCTCATTTGGAGGCCGGTTCGAGAGGAAAGAGCATTCCGGAGTAGGAGTTCTACGCTGTTGAGGTAAGTAACAACTTTAAATCCGGTCTGGAGGGTATGAGACCCGGAGTTTTGTATAATGTGACTGTTTGGAGGTGGCACCCATGCTAGGTGGTGGGCGTGTGGATGTACGCCGTAAGGGATTGAGACTTGGTCCGTCCCGGGAGACTGCAAAGTCTAATAGCCTTTAATTGTGTTTATATGCCTTCCTCTCCACTAGAACTTGACTGCTTTTCATGTTAGAAATCATGCTTAGACTATATTCCTGCTCATGGTAGTTATACTTAGTCATAGTGATTTCTGTGCATGTTTACCTCAGTCTCTGTTATTTGTTTTCTCAGATGATATACATACTGTAACACTTTGATTTGGGCTGTTTTTCCCTTCTTTATTGAGAGCTGTGAGACTAGAGTAGTTCATGACTGAGTAAGGCCGAGGGCCTGGTTGAGATGTATTGTTATATGGCACGTGAGTTGTCCGTGCGGATCCTTATATTTATACTATGGCACGTGAGTTATCCGTGCGAATCCAGATATAATATTATAGCACGTGAGTTGTCCGTGCAGCACGTGAGTCATCCGTGCGGATTGGCGCTTGGGTTGTAGGAGCCCCTCATGAGTCTGAATACCCCTAGTGAGCGCATGTACCTATTAAGAATGTGTATGAAGGTCTGATAGCCGGGAGTGTGATCTATTGAGATGGGTTGAGTGATTGCTGCCTTGAGAGGCTGTACTTGCTTTTAATTATTGTTGCACTTAGTTCTTATCTATTGTTGTTGTGAAGTTTATGGAATATTCATATATGTTTTACATGAGCACGAACTGATTTGACTTATACCACAGGATTTGAAAGTATGTTCACTCTTTACTGAAAACTTTTAAAATAAACTGTACTGTATAGCTCGTCACTGCTTCTCAGTTCCTTATTTATTTCTGTTACTTGTTGAGTTGGTTGTACTCATGCTACACCCTGCACTTCATGTGCAGATCTAGGTGTGTTTGATTACGGAGGTCGTTGAGTTTGGGAGGATCGAGTACCGGAGACTACGAGGTAGCTGCCAGCGTCCGCATGGCCTTGTCTCTCCTTCTATATATTTCTTTCTATCTTGTATTGATATTGAGACACTGGTTGTATTAGTTTGGTTATCTAGATACTCATGACTTAGTGACACCCTCATGCCGGGCTATTTTTTCGCACTTATGTTTTTATTTGGATTTTACCCCGTATTTATGAAAAAACTCCAGATATTTTAAATATCTTAGTTCACTTCTGTTAAAATTTTGAAAGAGTCTTGGAAAGGTCGGCTTGCCTAGTATTATGATAGGTGCCATCACGACAGGTTAGGTTTTGGGTCGTGAAAATAGTTTTCGAGAACGAAATGAAATGGTACGCCAATGAGAAAATCCCCGGCCAACTAGACTACAACGTAGCTGATCCTATGCTTAGTCTTGTCCAAAAATATAACATTAAAGTCCGCGGCCACAATGTCTTTTGGGATAATCCTCATAATATGCCCTCGTGGGCGCGCTATCTTTCACCAGTACAACTATCTTCAGCTGCATCAAGAAGGATAAATTCAGTGATGAATAGATATTTAGGCCAACTTATTCATTGGGATGTTGTGAATGAAAATGTCCACTTCTCGTTCTTAGAGCAGATTCTAGGGAAGAATGCGCCTGCTGTTTACTACAAAAAGGCTAATGAAATTGATAGCAAGTCAATTCCATTCTTGAATGATTTCAATACAATTGAACATGGATTTGATGGAACTTCAAATCCAGCTAAGTACCTAGAAAAGATTAAAGAGCTTCGATCCCATGGTTACAATGGCCCTTTAGGAATTGGACTCCAGGGACATTTTGTCACCCCAAATTTGCCTTATATAAGATCTTCTCTTGATATGCTTGCTTCAGCTGGATTGCCAATTTGGATCACCGAGTTAGATGTTGCTAATACGTGAAATTAACCTCTAATTCATGAGTTGGTGATCTTCAATTTGGACAGGAAATATATTTGGAGGAGATAATAAGGGAGGTACGTACACATCCAGGAGTGAAAGGGATAATGATGTGGGCACCATGGAATCCTAAAGGATGTTACAGGATGTGTTTGACTGATAATAATTTCAAGAATTTGCCTACTGGAGATGTTGTAGACAAAATTATTAAGGAATGGAATCACCAGGATTTTTCGGGGAATACCGATGAAAATGGTTTCTTTGAAGCTTCACTTTTTCATGGGGAATATGAAGTTGAAATCAGCCATCCTCAAGTAACATATAATACCTCTGTGGCTCAGAATTTGGTTAAGGTGGAACCAACTGGGGAAAGTTCACAATCACATTACANTAAAGGATGTTACAGGATGTGTTTGACTGATAATAATTTCAAGAATTTGCCTACTGGAGATGTTGTAGACAAAATTTATTTTATGGTAAGTTTTATCAGCTTTCTGCACCATGTAGCCCGCTAAAATTTAAAGTAATCTATTTTTTTTTGGCCCTTTTAAGGTCCTTTGCGTATCTTATTTCGAAACTAGCAGTTCAAGTGTGGCCATAAGATTTTTTTTAAAAGTAGTTTTAATGTGGGTATGTGTATCAATTGATGCACAAAACAGTATCTCCGAATCCCATAGTCTAAGCGTGAATCACAATTTCGGGTAAACAATCTTGTAGCTGAATTAAGAAAGAAACATGCTCTATATTTCCCAGATTGATAAAAATTACTCTAAAAGTTATTTCCATTTTAACATTCTATTACCACCGTCATCATATCTCACTATCTATGATTAAGTAATTCCATGGTAACGCTATAAAGTTTAAAGAGATAATTTTTTAGAGGAGGGCTTTTGGCGAAAAAAGCCCAATTATTTTGAACCCTACACTACTTAACTAAAAATGAAAGTTATATAGTAGAGTCCATTATTTAAATGGTTACTCAATTATCCGAAGTTATCTAGTAAAGTCATCTTTCTTTTGTTTATAACAGAAAAATTACTTAATTATGCTTATAACACTCAGAATGTCACTCGACCAGATTTCTCAAACTTTTGATTGTCAAATACCTATTTTACCCTCTAAATTATCAACTTTTATCTTTTTTTAATATTTTGATTTTTTTCTTTTTTTAATCTACATAACGGACTTACCTAAAGAACAAATAAATTTATTTTTAAAATAAAAAAGTTTTCTAGCATACATAATATCGGAATAATAATATAATTGAGAATAATTTTCAAGAATATATAATGCATATTATAATAATATCTTTATTTTAAATAATTATTTTTTATATTACGTTGATAGAATATATATATTTTAAAACATTTATTTTCTTTCATTCTCAATTATGTAAATAAATTTTGAGTTTTCATTATTAATATTAAAAATATCATTACTAACAAATTCTTCTAATTAATTTTATTACTATTCTCAACATTTTATTATTCCAACATTATACATGCTTAAATACTATTTTTATCTTTTTAATTTATAAATAAAATATATTTATTCTATAGGTAAAACCATAATATAAATTAAAAGAGAAAAATAATTATAATATTAAATATTTTTAAAATAAAAATAAAAAGAAGACAAACGTTGATTATTTAGAAGGTAAAATAGGTATATAGTAATTGATGGTAGGCTAGGAACACGCGTTTTAGCCGCATTTTGCACACTAATTCACTATACTTTACTTGTGTTTGAGCTTTAATTGGTAGTGTTTTACACTGATTGTGTGTTTTATGCTTTGTACGAGATGATGTCGAGTTAAGAAGATGTTCTGGAGCTAAATTGGATAATTTAGAGCTTTGAAATTCGAGTAAAACCCCATGAAATTAAACCGGGATCGCGTCCGGTGATCGTGGACCGGCGTTGCATACGAAAGTTGGAAGAAAGAGCAAGGGCTAGAGCAAAAAAAGCACTAGTGTGTCGCATAAGGCGTGGCATTAAGCGTCGCACTAGTACAAAAATTTGTTAGACAAGCTAAGCTCAGAGAGTTTACAACCGAGCAAAATACACTAATGCTGCGCACCCTGCGTAGAATAGTGCGACGCATGAAGTGTAAAAAGTTTGTAGGTTTTTTCACTTCAGCTCAAAGAGGGTAGTTTCATCCGGGTTCATTCCTACTTGGTATCAATAGACTAGAAACACGTTTTTGAGAGGACTTTTGACATACTTTCGACCTAAGGAAGCTAAGGATGAGTTGGAAGAATACAAGCACAAGGATTTCATTATTCCTTCCTCACTCAAGACCCGAGTTTGGACCGAACCTATGTTTTTCTATACTTTAATTATATTTGTGATGAATTTCTCCATGTCTATGGAGTAGTTTCCTTTAGGGTTTGATGGATTTAGTGTATTGATGATTGTTTGTACATTATAACTCTAGATTTATGTATTGAATTATTTTGGAAGATTTAATTGTTGCATCTATATTCACTAGTTCATATAATCGAGAGAGGCTTAACTTGTGATATCTTTGCATTATATTGTTAGTTGAGTTCGTAGATTCTTCTAAGTATTCGAAAGAGGCTAGTTGGATCATTGATTAAACCTAGTTAGGAGAATAATCGAAATAAATTTTTCTAAAGACCAATCCACTACGCATTCTTGCATATCTTCACAGTGCTTAATTTGGTTCGTCTCGTGATGTTAAGGTTTAATAGAGAGAGGAGTTTCTGCTGAACGTTTAAACTAATAAGTGAGTGAATTCGAGAGACTCACTTGAACATTAGAAGTGAACTATCTAGAGTTAGATCGCGAACAATTATCTTGCACCTATCCTATCAAAACCCTACCGTATCCCATTGATAACCTTATTTGCTTATTCCTTGTCTCGATAGTCACCAGTCAATAGCTTTAGTTTCTTAGTTAATTTTAATTATGAATCATATATATCTCAACTGTTGATCCACCTGGATAGCAATCAAGCTAGAAGCTACGAGAATACTGTTTAAATCCAATCCTTGTGGATACGATATTATACTATGATATCTTTGATTAGCGAGCATAATTTAAGTGTATTTTGCGCTCGTCAAAATTTGGCGCCGTTGCCGGAGATTGGCAATCAATAGTGTTCAAAATAGTTTTTGATGTTAATTCAGTAATTTATTTTATTTTATTTTTTATTCTTCATGGGTTTCCTCTTCCGTGTACAGGCAGCATATTGACTCCTTTGGTGTACGACTCGATCTTCTTCAAAGGAATAGATTCCATATAACCCAGAGGTAGAAAAGAGTCAAAGTTGAGGAAAGAGAAAGAACTCACCAAAAAGTTCTTGGGGCAGCCTTCAACCCAAGAACACATGGCTAATCACGGTGAATATGAGGCAAATCTGGTTGCAAGAGAAGCAGCACAACAGAGAGAAGAAGCTACAAGGACAGTAGCTAAGGCAACCCGTAGAGCTGCTGATGAGACCGTCAAGGATGATAGGGGTCGAAGGTTCAATCTGAATCGACCCTTGATTGAAGATCCATTCGAGAATGCGGTACCCAGGCCTGGTAGAGCATTGGGTGATTATGTCAGACCAGTCTACAATCATGGATTGTCCAGTGTCAGACCTCCACCAGTAGCAACGGATAACTTCAAGTTGAAGCAAGGCTTACTTCAAACTATCCAAAATAACTGCATTTTCAGAGGAAAGGTGAACGAAGATCCTAACATTCACTTGATGGACTTTGAAAAAATCATGAACACCTTCCCAATACAATGGAGTATCAAAGGATGCGGTCTACTTAAGGGCATTCCCCTTTTCACTGAAGGATAACACAAAGCACTAGCTTAGTAGCTTACCAACAGGGTCGATCGGGACATGGGAAGATATGACTAGAAAGTTTCTTGACAAATACTTCTCAGCTGCAAAAACAGTGAAGTTCAGAAGGGAATTTCACAACTTTTTCCAGACGGACACCGAAACAGTTTTCGAGTCTTGGGAAAGATTCAACAAGATAGTGAGGAAGTGTCAGCATAATGGGATTGAATTGTGGATGCATCTCCAAGAGTTTTGGGATGGACTAACACCTCTCTCACGATGAACTCTGAACACTGCAGTTAGAGGTCCTTTAATGAAGAAGACTCCTGAGGAGATTGTGGCAATACTTGATGAGCTCTCTGAAGATGCCAGCCAATGTCATTATGAGAGCAATTATAGAAGATTCCATAGCCAATACAGGGGTGCAAGCCCAACTAGATGCCATGGCGAAAGAGATAAGAAAACTGACCTTAGCCAAGATCCAGAGTCAACCATTACCTATTTGTAATTTTTGTGGAATAAGTTATCCAATGTATGAGTGTCAGGCCGCAACTGTAGATGAAGTGGTAAATTCTGTGGGAAGTTTTGATATAGGCAACTACCAGAGTGGTAATAATTTCAATCCTATGGGACAGAGACACCCAGGCTTTTCGTGGAACTCACAAAATGGTAGCTAGAACTCATGACAACAAAGTAACTCTATATCCCAGGGACAAAGAGCTCCGGGTTTTCAAAATCAGCAGAGGCAACAATATCAGCCTCCACAGTCTAATCAGTCTAGCATTGAAGATCTAATGAAGGCTTTCATTATCAAGACATATGAGAGGCTTGATGCCTATGGTGCATCTATCAAAGAACTAGGCATATCTTTTCGAAACCTGGAAAGACAGGTTTGGAAACTAGCTACTCTAATGTCTGAGAGGGTCCTAGGAACACTCCTGAATGATACAGAAAGAAATCCCAAAGAAATAGTGAATGCTGTAACGCTGAGAAGTGGGCAAGTGTTGAAAGATCTCACCCCAACCCAAAAAAGATACGAGACTTGAAAAGGAAAGTGGGTAGTAACTGAAAAGTGATGTTGATAAGAAGAAGAAATGCTATATGGAATCTAACAAAAAGAAGAAAGGAGAAAACGCAAGAAGAGAGGAACCTTAGGAGAGCAAGCATATGCATGCTCTACCTTTTCCCCAAAAGCTAAGTAGAGAAA